GATAGATAGATAGATGATAGATGGATATAGACAGATAAGAAAAAGGCACCCTTTCCATGAAGATAGTCCTGTAGGTAAAGGGCTTAGCCAACAGAGCATGGGCTAACTCTACCTTTCTTGTCCAGGCACTCTTGTTAGTGGACAGCCTATCATCATATAAAGTAGTCTTATGGCTTAGCCAAAGTGCTTTATTTGTAGGTTCAAAATGGTCTAAATTAACCCAAAAGGTTGAACTCAGTTTGAAAAGACTTAACTTTACAGGGGTCATGACATTCTTGCAGGTATCAGTACTGAGAGTGTATACTTTGAAGTACTCAGAGCCCATTTGCTTCAATTCAATAAATGTAAACTGGGCAATTGATAAGACATAAAACAATGCTGGGTTTAGGGGGGATGACGGGAGGGAGGCATGAAACCAGGTAAGTCATGTTCCTGACTTCAAGGAAGATAAATGACAGGATCTTTAGAATATATAAGAAGAGACATAGAAGACCTTTGGAAATGTTTTAGTCCATTAAAATATATGGTGCCATGTGGTATATTCTGAAAATATCTTTTTGTAAATTTATTTTTATTGTTTATATTAATTTTTTATTTTAAATTTTTTTGTGGGGGAAGGGGTTGCCAGAGACCGGGGGTGGGGGAGAGGGAGAAAGCACCCTCCCCCCAGTGGGGCATAATCACACTGCAATTCCTTCTCCTCCATTTCTCCATCCTGTTCGGATTTTGAGCAGGCATGCATACATGCCTAATGTGGTTTTCAAGCCACTGGAGCATATATTTGAACCATAGTCAGCCATGTGGGATCTGACTGCCTTAATCACTAGGCCATGGAGCTAGCCTAAGAATATCTTAATTCAAGGTCATTAACCATCGCTTTCTACACCTAGGTCTTGGGGAAGAGATTTTCCATGTTTTGAGCAACTATTATGTTCTAGGCCAAGGGAAAGGCATTATACATGAATTATTTCAGTTAATCCTCATAATAAGCCTGAGAGGCAAGTATTATTATCCCCATTTTACATGAGCATGATAACTTAAAACAGAATGATTTCATATGTCAAAGGAGAATGACTTCAGTTCAAATCTCAGTTGACCCTTTATTAATTTGGTGACCAAATTATTTAACTTCTTGTTAGTCTCAGTATCTTTAACTATAAAATAGGTATGATGATATCATATTTAAGATTTATTTTAGTAATCAATTGGCATAATGTATAAAAATGTGAGACACAAAGTAAAAGCAAGCTAGGCTGCCCGATCTGAGACTCGAACCACAGTCAGCCACGTGGGAGTACAGTGCCTCAAAAATAATGCCACCAGCCAGCCCTCACTATTAAAGTTCTTAACACTGAAATTCACATGGGAAGCAAATAATAGAAAAATATATGATTTTCTCCTTCTAGTTACAATGTTATGACTAGGAGTCCAGGAACCTGGGTTTTATTCCCAGTTCTGCTGCTACCCAGCCTTGAGGCTATGAGCAATCACCTAACTAAGTATAAATAGCAGATCCTTCTCAAATAGAAGACTAAGTAAATATATCTCTGCTGTCCACTCCAAAGAAAGATGAATATCTGTGAAACTATACAAATGAGAAGTGATGGGATTACTAGAGAGTGAAAGAAACTCCTTTTCTCTAGGATTCTCTGAAACAGCTGGATTATTAGTAAATCTCATTTCAAGATGCTCAATTGTGAGCCAGCAGGTGGTATGGTGGTTGAGACACTGGACTTCCACATGGGGGACCACAGTTTGAATCTTGGACTTGGTGGCTTACTTTCTCACTTTCTCTTTTTTTGTCTCTCTCTGTTGAGTGCATGTGCTCTATAACAAAATAAAAAATAATAATGATAAATAAAAATTTTACAAAGATACTCAGTTGCTTTAGAAAAGTCAAGAGATTCTTTGTCCACACTGATATCTCAGTGCTTAGAAAGAGTTTATCCAGGGTTACAATCAGCAAGTAGATTAGGAATGCACACAGCAGTTGTGCAATGCTGCTTCTCTCCAGTCTTCTGCTTTTTACACTATGCCTTGGCTGCCTCTAGGTTAACTTCGCTCTGAGCAAAGTGTTTCAACCTTAGTCATTTACTTCCTCCTAGACTAGTCTCCAGGAACCCTATACCCACTGAGGAACTTCCCTAGGTTTGCCTTTGGGTGCCACTGGTGTGAAACAGTAGAAAAAGGAAACCTAGCATATTAGAGCAGATTCTGATAAGACAAACTCTCCCAGCCACACACCCAGACACTGTGTTTCTGAGAGCCTCATTTATCATAGCTCCTAAACCATATGGTCTCCAGTCTCAACTAGGCAACTTACTAGCTGGGTGACCTGGTCTACATAGTTTAATATTTTTAACTTCAGCTTCCTTGTCTACAAGTACTATACTAAGGGAATAGAAATAGTGATGGCATCTATACATTTTAGAATAAAAAAAAAAATTCATGTCAAGCCCTTAGAACAGATCTCAGCATAGAACAAGGGCTCAATGGAAGTTGGCTGTTACCTTCATTATAATAGAATGTTTGAAGGTAATACCCCTTTACTTTTCCTGCTAGTGTTCCCCACAGTACCTGAGTTAGGTCTTCATATATGATAAGCAACCAATAAATGAGTTTTGACTTAAATAAAAGCATACTGAGCTATGGCAAACCCCCTCACCTGATTGATCTTAATTCCTCTAGTTTTGGGGTTTGTCTAATTCACTAGTGATTAAGTCACTAAACATGGTTGCAGACATCCAGGACTCCTACCAGTGCTATCAATATGTGAAGATACTTAGAGACTTTGTTGTATTTTTCAAGCTTGCTATAAATAACTGCAAAATGAACAGCAATTATTTGGGCGCAAGAATCTAAAGTGCCGCTTAGTGGTTTCTGTTGAACTGACTTCTGCTGTCCTTTCATTTTTCCTCAGCAGACAAGCTGGCTGCACACAGACAAGGAGGTCTCTGTGCCTCTAATAGAGCATTACACCTAGAGGTTGACAGACATAAAGTTCTTGCTTTCCAAGTTTAAACACTCACTCAGCTCCATGGATGGCAAGACCGATGAAGAAGATCACAAAGAGATGGTGGGTGTACCAAAACACTTCAAAGTAAGATCTCCGGATGGTTTTGGTAGAGGAGGTGATAATTAATATGAGGCAAAGTGTGATGACAACTCCAGTGATGCCTGCCAATCGAGTCACAGCCACATATAGGCCTCCTTCAGGGTTCTGTAAAATACAAACACACACACACACACACACACATGTGTGTGTGCATGTGCGCACAGACACATACATTATAGTAGGTTCACAAATGCAGTGTGTTTAAAGTGTCCAGCATGTAAAGCAATAGATATTTTCATCTGGATACTCCTAATCATCCTACACAGAGAAATAGAGGCTTGAAGTACATATTTCTAAAATTTAAAATGTCTTACATGTTTGAAGAGTCATAGGAAATATAAATTGATACTCTTAAAAACAGTTTGCTCTGGGAGAGTATCAAATAAAGGAATCAATCAATTCCTGACCATAGCAGCTCAAGAGCAAATCCTTGCTTTCTTAAATACTCTCTCAAGCCATTTAGCATAAGCTTAAATCATATAGTAAGTCCTTCATAACACTCCTCTGAGATATCCCAGACTTCCTCATGATTCAAGGTCTGTTTTGTAGTAGCAAGTAATAACCTCAACTTTGTCTGACTAGGCATGTGTTTCTGGCTTCTTATTACCAGTGGACGTAGACATGGGCAAGCCTAAGTTTCTCCATGTACACACATTCTCACAGGTGAGCTTAAGGACTGGGAAACATCTAGATGCCCTCCACACATGGGATCAGGAGTATAGGAGACATTGTCTCTGTACTCATTCTTATAACCTACAGACTTATCCTTTAGATGGTTGGCCAAGTATTATTGTTCTGGTTGAGTAGAGTTCTTTACTCCTTGAAATCTAGTCCTCAATGTTTACAGCCTAGAGAATATCTGAATCATAAAATAAGAGGCTTACCTTGATTCTCTTTCGAGCAAAATTCAGATAACTTTCACCTTCTTTATCTCCAATATCAGAGAGTAATATTGAATAAGTATCAGAATTGTTGACTCGAGCATTCACACACCACTCCACATTAAATAGATGTGCAATGGTGTGAATCGCTAAAGAGAGCAGAGAAGAGAAACAAGGGTGTAAAGGATATGCACAAACAAGATATAGGGATGGCCCAAGTGACTTATAAATAAGAGCTGGTCTCCAGAATCAGAGAGGTAAGGAAATTCATGTAGCTAAGTTTCTCTCTAGTTGTGTGATTGTGAAGAAATCACTTAATCTCTCTTGTCTTAGTTTTATCATTTGTAAAATGAAGGTGTTGACCTACATGCTCCTACAAGCCCAACCAACATTTTTATTAAGTTTTTAGCTTTTGCTATAGGGCTCGTGTACTTGCCAGAGAGATACAGAGAGAGAGAGAAAGAGAGGGAAAGTGAAAAATCATCGTCCAGGGGGGATTGCAATGCTGCAACCCCTTCTGCTCCACTCTCCTCTTGAGATTTTGGAGACACACATACACATGTGCCTGGTGTGATTTTCAAGTTACTGTGTCTGGGACTTGCACCACGAAGTCCAGCCATATGAGATCCAGTCGTCTTAACCTCCACACCATCAGCTGGCCTGACCAACCAACTTTTAAGTTTCTGCATGTGTATTAAAATAAGAAGACTTTCATGTAATGTATGCCTAATGGCTGGTCCATTTACCTGACTCTGAAATTGCCTCCAAAGAGAGATGTCAAATTTTATTTAATTGATAGAAAACAATGGCCATAAGCATGAATCTCTCAAACACAAAAACAAATTGCAATTTTTATTTAACAGAGTTTAACTAGGTGCCAAGCACTATTTTAAGTGCTTTATAATTATTTAACTTTTATCCAATGATGTAGGTACCATTAATATCAACTCATCTTACGGATGAGGAAATTGGGGCACAGATTGCTTTAAACTCTTGTCCAAGGTTGCCAAGCTATGAGGTAGCAGTTAGAAATCAAATCCAAACAGTTTGGTACATAAATTTGTGCTCCTAAACATTATACATGCCACTTTCTAAAAAGATTTTATCCTGATTTTTTTTTTTTTAACTATTTTGTTTGCCATAGCTCAGAAAGTCTTCATGATGTACTGGTAGGAGAAGAGAAATCCCATTAACTTCCTTTAATCTAAGCGTACTTAACTGAGGTTAGGGACAAACTCCTTAAGGGCAGAGTAAGTCTGTTTTGTTCATCACTGTGCATGTCTAACATTTGGTATAGGAATTGTTTATTAAGTGAACTAACTAGTGGAGATTGGATAAGAGTCTCAGATACTTCCTTTATTGTACTGATAATATCAACTTAATAATTCTAATGATAACTTATAACATATACACAGCATACTTATACATACACATATAATAATGAAAACAGCAACAACAACAATAATAATGAAGGTGTTTAGCTGATAAAGGCTGTTTTCTTTTTTTTTTGAGTTTTTTGCCATAGGGTATGTGCGCTTACTGGAGAGAGAGAGAGACAGAGACAGAAACAGTGAGAGGGAAATTGAGAAACCAACCCACGGGGGGATGGCCACACCACAATCCCTTCTGCTCTTGGGATCTTGGGCATGCATGCACATACACCTGGCATGAGTTTCAAATCACTGGATCTGGGACTCAAACTGCAGTAGGTCATGTGGGAGTCCAGTGATGCAACCACTTTGCCATCTGCTGGACCTGATAAAGGCTGTTTTAAGAGAGTCTCAATTTATAGGCTATGGTTCCTATAAATTTACTGTAAAAAATCCATAAATTCACATATGCAACCAAACACTTTTATGGAATGAATAAAAGCTCTCAAATATGGACTAAATAGCATTTTTCATATTAAAAATGATGGAAAAGGGTGAGGGCACTGTATTGATCTTTTCCATGGTATATTTTCATTTTTATAGGAAAATCCTAAGATGAAAAAATATAAGACCTAATGGACTAGATCTTAATATTGGAATGACAGCAGAAGAAGTGATGAATACTTTTGAACAGAAGTTATTTAAAAACATACATCTCCAACCACCACCTAATCTACTTATAAATGCCTTTATCTTACTTAAAGGTATCTACAAATAAAGGGAACTTTCTGGTTCCCAGTATTTTTTCCAACCTCAAGTGTCTTAATAAACTTACCAGTGTGAAGCGCAATCATCCAGGCCACCATTTTATGAAAGGTGAGGTTCCTGTCCAGTTGCCTTCGAATTCTTGTTGAACAACACTTTGGGTTAAGGGGGAGAGAATGGAATTGTAATTATTAACAAGAAGGCTTTCTATGTACCAACCTTCTTTTATTATTTTTGGGAGAGAGAGAGATTTTTGTTATAGGGTGCATACACTCACTGGAGAGACAGAGACAGAGAGACAGAAAGTGAGAAATCACCCCTCAGGGGGGATGGCCATGCCACAATCCCTTCTCCTCCATTCTCCTCTCGGGATCTTGGGTACGCATGCACATGCGCCTGGCATGAATTTTAAGTCTTAGGGTCCAGAATTTGAACCACAGTCAACTATGTGTGAGTCCAGTGACATAACCATTATGCCATCTGCTGGTCCCTGTGCCAACCATTTTATATGTATCATTCCACTTAATTTCATGACCATCCTACAAACTATAGCATTCTATCCATTTCATAGATGAGGAAACAGGCTAAAAGACATATACTCATACTTCCCAGTTCAAACAGCCAATAAGTAACATAGTTGGTTTAGCCAGTATGTTTTCTGTTCTCATACCAGTGACGTGAATTCTTTCCTGGAACCCACTATTTATTACATAAAAATATGAATTCAGACAGAAAACATCTAACCACATAGTTTGTAGTTCCAATGAATTTATTCAATAAACAGAGGATATAGAAATTAATAAAAGACAGGCCTGCTCTCACATATCTGACAGTCTAGTGGGGACAAAGAAAAGTGAAGATTTCTAGAACAAGTGAGTAGCTCTCAAACAGTACTTTCATAGGATAGACATACTATGGGAGGAGAAAGAAGAGTCGACTTGCCCATGTAGGTCAAAGACATCACAAGGGAGATCATTGACCAAACAATAATAGCAAAAATAACAACAGCTACCATTTACCAAGAGATTTTTAAAGAGCTGCTCAAGTATTTTGTACACAATAACTCATTTAGTTCTTACATCAGTCCTATGAGGGAGACACCATTATTACTGTTACATAGCAGATGAGGCAACAAAGGCATACAGAGGTACCTTGTCTTAGGTCACACAGCTAACAAGTGCCAGAGCTGAGATTTAAACCCAGAGTTTCTATCAATATTTGGATATATGATTTTTAAATGATTATCTTGGCTATTAAAAATACCATTAAAAATAGTATTTTGGTCAAAAGTTTACTATATCTATCCTACCTACAAATGTTAAAAGATAGGGGTTTGGAAGTGGATTCAGGACAATGCTCAAAGCAGAGAAAAAAAAACAAACTGGTTTATGGTTGAATCAGAGAGCGTTGCTGTCCTGAAATTTTCAGCATCTAAATGCACCATCACAGAGATTCAGAGAATCTCTGAGTGAACCTTCAGAGATTCAGAGTGAAGTACCAAAAAAACTTAGGTTTTAAACATTGTAGGGACCAGCAGTTGGCGTAGTTAACCACGGTTCAAGTCCTGAACCCAGTGGCTTAAACTCACGCCAGATGTCTGTGCATGCGTGTCCAAGATCCCGAGAGGAGAATGGAGGAGAAGGGATTGTGGGGTGGCCATCCCCCTTGGGGGGTGATTTCTTGCTTTCTATCTCTCTGTCTTTCTGGCAAGTGCACAAGTCCTATAGCAAAAACCACTCCAATAAATAAATAAATAAATATTGTATTCAATTTAAATATGGATGTGTTTAACATTGGCTTACTTCTTTTTAAAAGAATTATTTATTTCATCATATTCATTATCATTATATTTTTAAAAATTTGCTGAAGGGCATGTGTATCCATCAGAGAGATGGGAAAATGAGAAAGCAAGCTGCGAGGTCTGGGACTCGAACTGTGGTCAGCCATGTGAAAGTCCAGCACTGTAACCACCATGCCACCTGCTGGCCCTTGGCTTACTTATTTTTAATTAATGTTCTGATTTTAGAGAAAAATCTAATAAGAAAGAAAATTACGCTTCCTCCCTCTCAAGTAGCTACACCTAGCAGCAAGCAGGCTATTCTGACCATGAGAACAGATTCTTAGAGTTACAGAAATACTAGCAAGAGGGACATGGAGGATTCCAGAAGAACAGGGGCGGGGAAGGGGCTTCATTGAGTAACATCTGTGAATGGGTAGTTTACCTGTTCATATAATGCAACAAGGTAAGTATTTTTATTCTCATTTCACACTGGCTGGGATTGAAGTCTATTTGTCTATAAAAAGTTCATGCCTTTTCCCACCATATCACTATTATGCTAAGTACCTAAAAACCTGAGACAGGCATTTAAGTATGAGTATCTGCCTGGAAGGTGGTCACAGATAAAGAGGGCAGGAAATCAATAATGGATATACTATCATATCAACTACTACTATTATATTACATGAGTGGGCTCAGCTATACCAGGTTATTCTGTAGAATTTGTCTTAGGATTTTGTTTTGTTTTGGTTTGGTTTGGTTTTTACCTAAGGGGTTAGAAAGCTTGAATATTCATACACCAACTCCCATTCATCATTGGCTGAAGACTATTCCCAAGGCACCAACTCCCTGGTATTTTAGACTTGCAGCAAGAAAAAACTGAAAGAAAATCCCCTTTGGGCTGTCAAAACAACAGTTTTCTATTTTAAATAGCCTATTTTACACTCCTATTGGTGAGAAATTGATCATCATTATCTTCTTGTATAACCTGGCCTTTTATGTTTATTTCAAGTAGTAAAAATTGTTTTACTACTTCGTATTCTTTTTTAAATTTTTCTTTTTTTATTTTTTTTAACATTTTTAAATTTCATTTTCTCTTTTACATTCAATCACATCATTTAACTTACAAACTGAATATTTTAACATGTAAACATTTCTCCCTATTTCACTTGATAAAACTATAAAAGTATCTTCAACAGAAAATACCACATTTCTTTGTCCCATTAATGCTTTGCCTCTCTATTTTTCTTCTAAATGTCCTTCTTCAGACTCTACTCTTTTACACACACTGTATCTGGTATTTATATCAAAGCTGTTGTAATCAAAACAGCATGGTACTGGCACAGAAACAGACATGTGGACC